CCCCCCCCCCCCCCCCCCCCCCCCCCCCCGCCCGCACTTGGGCCGCACCTGCCTAAGTTAACCTTGCATGCCCTCCCTCCCTCCTTTTATGGCTTGTTACCATAAAAGAGGCCTATTGTGGCCTCTTTAATCTGTCTTGGCAGAGCTTTGGCCAAGGCATTACCTCAGTTGTTGCCCCAGTGCACCACTTCCCTGCTCCTTTTGATTGTGGGGGCAGGGGGACATGTGTTTCCACCCCATGACACCACAGCCTCCCCAACACTAACACCTTCCTACTGTTGAGTCAGCCCTGTACTTCTTCCCCCATTGAGGATGTAGAAAAAAACTGAAGTATGTTTTTCCTACTATATTCTCATAACACAGAAGACTTCTGTGACTTCTGGTAGCCAAAACGTATGGGGATTTCTCCCCACCAGCAACCAAGCAAGCAGTTCTGCAGCCAACAGCTGGGTGTCTGCTAATCCAATTCAATCCTGACACTACCTGCAGATAGTGTCAGATCCCACAGGTTGAGGTCTGTCTCACAAGACTGCCGCACACTTCCAAAGCCAGTCACAAGCCCCACATGGTTTTACTTCTGACCAACTGGCTATAAAGTGGGGTTCCCATGACCTCCTCCTGGGGTTCAGTAAATTTGCTCACAGAACTCAGAGAAATACTAACATTTACCCATTTATTATAAAGGATATTACAAGGGCCAGCCTGTGGCTCACTTGGGAGGGTTTGGTGCTGATAACACCAAAGCCACGGGTTCGGATCCCATATAGGGATGGCCAGTTAGTTCACTTGGGAGAGCGTGGTGCTGACAACACCAAGTCAAGGGTTAAGATCCCCTTACCCGGTCATCTTTTTAAAAAACAATAAATAAATAAATAAAGGATATTACAAAAGATATAGATGAGGAGATGCACAGAGTGAGGTATGGGGGAGGGTACGGAGCTTCTGTGCCTGCCCTGGAGCCGCCCTCCAGGAACCTTCCTGTGTTCAGCATTCAGAAGCTCTCCAAACCCAGTCCTTTCGGGTTTTTATGGAAGCTTCGTAAAGTAAGCAGGATAAAATTGTTGGACTTAACCTTCAACCCCTCTCCCTTCCCTGTAGGTTGGGGGATGGGGCTGAAAGTCCCAGCCCTCTAATCCTGCTTTGGTCTTTTCCTGACCAGTCCCCATCCAGAAACTCTCTAGGGACCCCCAGCCACCACTCAATTCATTAGCATGTAAAAAAAAAAACTCATCACTTTGGAGTGTCCGAGGATTTTAGGAGTTGTGTGCCAGGAAACAGGAAGACCAAATATGTATTTCACAATATCACACCCATCCACTGAGTGCTTTCAGTCCTTAGGGTAACTCCACAAAGCTCCCAACCACTTTTCCTGATCTTTCTTCTGTCCTTCACCCCTGCCTGGGTTTACCAGCTAGCTGGTTCCCTCAGGCACACCCTGCTTCCTACCTGACAGGCAGGTATGTTCTTGCTACATGCCTAAACACAACTGCTGAGCTTATGGACCTTGTGCAGTAGTTGAGGTCAGGATTGTTAAAGTCTCAGATGTCAAGAATTTTAGCTACTCTTAGCTGGTGATGACAGCTACTCTTATAATTATACCAGCTGAGAAACCTGCTAGGAGTTTGTATCCCTTTATCCAGATACTGACCAAATTCTTTAGTGATTATACATACTCCTCACTTCACCCCCACCTAGTCAATTTAATTTATTTAACTTTATTTCCTGTTCTGTTATTGAAAGGTGCATTTCTAGCAAGAACCCATGGTCTTAGAGAAACCAGAAAACCCATCTGTCAAATACAATGTGCAGCTTTATTATCAGAGTACTGCCATGACTTATTTCTGTATATTTTATCCATGTTGGCCAGTACACTTGACGTTAGCCAAATGTGGCCACTGAGCACCTGAAATGTGGCTAGTCAGAAGTGAAGGTGCTTAAATGTAAAATGCATATCAGATTTCAAAGACTTTAAGCACGCACACACAAAAAAGAATGCAAAATCTCAATGATTTTTATATTGATTACATGTTGACAATATTTTGGATATGTTGGGTTAAATAGAACATCATTAATTAATTTTACCTGTTTCTTTTTACCTTTTAATGTGGCTCCTAGAAAACTTAATATTACATATATGAGGATGCTTCAAAAAGTTCATGGAAAGACTCATATTATCTTTTAATTCTGTTTTTCCACAGACTTTTGGAAGTGCCCTCCTGTGTCTCACAGTAGTGGCCTGCTGCGCAGTGCTGTTTTAGGCACTCAAAATTATTTTTCTTAACTAACTTCCTTTCCTCTTTCTTCTGATTGTCCTCAGGAAATCACTCAAAAAGTCCTAGAAGCTGTGGGAAACATTGCTGGCTCTTCCTTGGAACAAACCAGCTGGCTAAGCAGAAACCTGGAAGTAAAGGCCCAGCCTCAGGTCTCTCTAGAAGAATCTGATGCTGAGGAAGATTTGTACGGTAAGTATAGGAGGGGCAGAAAATGATGCGCACTGTCAGCTGGTGGTTCTAGTTTTTCCTTCAAAAAGACCTTAAGTGTTCTCACCACAAAAAAAGAAAAAAAAGGAAGAGAGTGTATAGGTGATGGATATGTTAATTTGATTGTGATGATTATTTCAGTGTATACATATATTAAAACATCAGATTGTAACCTTAAATATATACTATTTTTATTGGTCAGCTATACCTCAATAAAGTTATACCTCAGTTATATCCTGGGGCTGGGGGTGGGGCGGTTATTGGAAATAAAAAAAAAAGTTTAAGCGTATGAAAAAGCAAACTACATTCTTAGGTTGATTTTAACTGTTTTTACTTCTTACAACATAAGTAGTAGTATAATAAACAGGCCTTCCCTGGTAGTATCCCAAGTGACGTATGCTACCATGTTAAACCTTTACTGGGCCTAGACGGGGGTCCAAAAAGTAACTTTCCAAGATAATTTACATGGGCTTGGTGATAGAACTCTGAAATCTGTGTGGGATTAAGACAATGAGAATGTGTTTTTCTCTTTGTGGAAATGTGGAAAGAAGTAAATCAGAAAACTGTTGTCAGCCGTGGTATGTTGTGTATTATTTCATTTCACACCCTTACCTTTCAGTGATCCCAGCTCATCACCTGGGATGTGAAGATTTAATAGAGGAGGTTACATGGGCTGGGTACACTCAGCTTCATTGTCAGTCATAACTTCCTGGGAGAATGGTCAAAAGCTTCTTAAAGAAAACTCATCAGACCAGCCAGCAAGAGATTTTTGAGGAATCTGAATTAAATGTGAGAGTGTAGCTTGTCATTTGCACCAGACAAATCTGTTAATCAGGCAAATCTGAGGTCATTAAACCTACTGCAGTTTAGGGAGAAACTGGACAGCATCATCATAGTGTCTCAAAAGGGGAAGTTGGGGGAGGATGTTTATAGGGTTTTAAGGCCTTGGCTGAGTTGTTTTGTGGCAGATCTTTCAAGGTGGGGAACTGGTTGGGATTGTGCAAAATTAATGATATCTTTGGGTTGGTGGGCACGGATGAGGGGAGGGCCTAGAAGTGAATCCTGATGAGAAAGCCACTAGTTTTGATAAGTAAACTTTTTTTTTTTTTTTTTTAAAGATGACCGGTAAGGGGATCTTAACTCTTGACTTGGTGTTGTCAGCACCACGCTCACCCAGTGAGCAAACCGGCCATCCCTATATGGGATCCGAACCCGTGGCCTTGGTGTTATCAGCACCGCACTCTCCCGAGTGAGCCACAGGCCGGCCCCGATAAGTAAACTATTTTATTGTACAGTTTTTCTTTCAGGATTAAATATATCTTGGGGCAAGTGATTATCTTTGCTAGTTCTCAGTATTATTTAACACAGGGACAGGAGAGTATGCCCACAGCCAATATTGCTTGACATGGGACAAGAAAGTATGTTTTGTCCCAGTTTCATTTAACACAGGGTCAAGAAATTACATTTCAATTCTCAATATGAGCTATGTAGGACAGTATGTGCCATAGAGTAAATGTTCAATACTTGTTAGCTTTTATTACTTCTATCAAAGTTGTTAGCAATAGTTACAACAGCAGAAACAAAGCTAAATTTGTCTTTTTTAATACGCAAGGGAAGAAATGTCAATAACTCATGGATCTTTTCTCTCGCAAGTAACAGAAATCTATTTTAGATAAGGAGAAAATAGGCTGGTCAGTCAGCTCAGCTGGTTAGAGTGTGGTGCTCATAACACTAAGGTCCACAGTTGGATCCCTGCACCGGCCAACCACAAAAAAAAAAAAAAAAGTAGATTAACAGAAAACAACAAAACAAAGCACTTTTTGGCTCATGGGTGTAAAACAAAGAAAGCACTTTTTGGCTCATGGGTGTGAAAAGCACGTGGGTCAGGAGCAGGTTTTAGCCATAACAGGAGTCAGGCGCTCAAGTGAGGTTAATCAAGTCTCACGCAAGACCATGGACAGCTCTTCTCAGGTCATGTGCCTAACCCAGAGGAGGGAAAGAAGGGCTGGAGCCTCACGAAATGGGCTGTCACTCAAAAGAGGGTTGTCCTTCCAGAGGAGAAAGGATGGGTGCTGGGCAGATGAACGTGACTTCTTTTTTTTTTTTAAAAAAAGATGACCGGTAAGGGGATCTTAACCCTTGACTTGGTGTTGTCAGCACCATGCTCACCCAGTGAGCTAACCGGCCATCCCTATGTGGGATCTGAACCCTTGGCCTTGGTGTTATCAGCACTGCACTCTCCTGAGTGAGCCACAGGGCCGGCCCCGATGAACGTGACTTCTGCCGCATTTGTTAGTGCTGTGCAGACCATCTGCTGGTATAAGCCAGCACTTAATGCCTCCTCGGCTGTGGTTGTAGATTACAGTTGTGGTTCTGGGGAAAGAGAGTCTTCCACTTTGTGAATTTGTCCTTGGTTGTTTCTGTTATGTGTACTGAGATGCCGATTAAACACTTCAACATAGTGCAACTGTGTTGACTTTGTTAAGTCAAGACAATACTATAGTAAAATGATCAAAATGATCACCTGAATTTTTTTAATATTTAGAAGTCATAGAAATCCAAAGCTGGAAGTGATTTTTTCAGCTTCTTAATAAGCGTTAATTAGCAAATTATAGAGTACCCAAACAACTGAGTGTTGGATCATAACTATGTGAATACATATTGGCCATATAAAAAGCATGATACAGAATGAGGTTTCAACATGATGTATTTTTCTCCAATTAAAATTTTTCAGCATGCAGTGGGTGTGCAGGTTCTTAAGTATAAACTTGGAGAGAAACGTCTGGTAGGTGTCACGTGCTGTGTTCTGGGTGAGGGTGCTATTTTCAGCAGACGAAATAAGCAGAACTTCTGCTCTCGTGGGACATGGGCAAGATGATTATTAAAAAGTAAATTACCAAGGGTATCTTTGCCACTCTTCTGAAAATCTAAAATTATTTCAAAATAAGTTTTCGAGTGACAAAAAAGAGTAAATTACCAAGAGAATTTTAGGTGGTGCTTAATACTATGAGGAAAGTAAGAGGAATGTGATAAGGAGTTACTGGGAATAGGGCAGAAGCCACTTTAGATGTTACAGATTATATCGCCTAGGAGGTAACAGTTGTACCAAGAAATGAAAGAGAAGAGGGCAGCTCTGCAAAGATCTGGGAAGGCACTGCACAGAGGGGATGGCATGTCCTGGAGGTAGGAGTGGGCTTTGAAGACCAGTGTGGCTGCTGCTTAATGAGAGTGATCAGAAAACATCAGAGAGAAGATGGGGCCTGAAGGTTGTCTGGCTTGCTAGAGAGCACAGTAAGGAGCTTGGATTTCCTCCCACTTGCTGTGGGAAGCTGTTAAAGTATTTAGAGCAATGACACAATCTTATTCAATCTTTAGAAAACATCACTTTGGCTGCCATGGGCAGTACAGGCTGTATCAAATGAGAACAGAAACCAGAAGTTCAATTAAAAGAATTCCACAGTGGTTCGGGCCGGAGGTGATACTGGCTTGAAGGCAGGGCCAAAGGAGGTGACTGAAATGCCAAGTCAACAGGACTTGCATGGATTGGATATGATGGGGGAAAAAAGCAATCGAGGATGACTTAGGTTTTTGGCTTAAGCAATTTGTTAAGGTGGAGAAGACTGAAGGAAGAACATTTTGGAGAGGGAAATTGAGCTTGGTTTTGCATGTCTTAAATCTGAGATGTCTGGAAAAGAGAAGGAGCCAGCAAAGACGATTAGGCAGGGTAGGAGAAAAAGTAAGAGAGAGCACAGAGTCAAGTAATCTAGGAGAAGAGAGTGTTTAAAGAAGGAGAGAGTAGTAACACAGAGGAAGACTGTGGAGAAGTAGAGTGAGATAGGACAGGGACCCACTGGATCTGGCAGTACGGAAGGCATTGGGGTGGGTGGTCGGGACAATGAGGGGAACACTTGGTAGTGTAGGTGGAGAAGAAGATGGGAGCGAGGGGCTGGAGACAGTGAAAGTAGAAAACTCTTTGAAGCTTAGTTGCCAGTAGGGCACTAACTAAGTAGATCTAAGGGCCAAAGAGTGTTTATTGTTTTGATTTGTTTTTAAGTTGAAGTACATTTGCACATGATGGAACAATACAGCACAGAGGAAGAAATTAATACAAGACAGAGAAAGCATAATTAGAAAGCAAAATCCTTTGTGGCCACAGGGCCAGAATTGATATCAGAAATGGAATTATTGTTCTTTTATAGGAGCTAGGGACATGTCTATTAAAACAGGGGACAAGGAAGAGAACATGGATGTACACGCTCCTGGATTAATAACACATAATGGCAAAATGAGGGGTTTCCATTTGACTGCATTAATTTTCTCGGTAAAATATAAGGTGAGGTTACCAGCTGAGAAGGGGTTAGGTATTGATAGGTATACAGCGAGGATGTGAAAGAATTATGTTGGAGAGTGGAAAGCCAGCGTACCACCCCGGAGCATGTGGTGGGATCGTTGGAAGCATCAGGTCCCTTTCAAGATTCATAGTCACGAAATAAAGCGAGATCAGTTGCATAGTGGTATAGTTTTCTTCAAAACGTTTAAG